CCCTGAACTGCAGAGGAGTCTGCCTGTCCCAGGTGTAAAAAGGAAAGAGAAGAGCTTCTGGCCACCGAGAAGGGAGAGCAGAGGCGGGGAGTAGGAGTCTAGCCTGTGGGGGCCAGCAGCACACGCAGCTGGCCAGTTGCTGGGAACTGTTTGCTAAGGACACAGCATCCCCACTTGACTGGAATCCTGGGATGGGCTCCAGAGAATCCTCTGGTCTTTTGGGTCAGTACAGCCATAGTCAGGCAGGTGCTCCGGGTAGGAATTACAGTTTCTAAAGTTCACCCTTCTATCTCTAGCATCTAGAACTGTCTGGCACATAGTAGGTCCATGATAAATATTGAATGAGTGAATAAAGGAATGAAGAAATGCTTTCACCACACAAGCATGATCTTATTCAATCTGCAAAGTGGGGCACAGGCAGGACAGGCATTGCCTCATTTTGCAGATGGGCAGCTGAGATCAAGAGCATAAATGTCTTGCTGAAGGTCATTCGACTTGGATGTGGCGCTGCACTCTCTCTATAGTGCCATGCAGAATATTCTTGGTATAGCATCCTGTGACTCCACATGAACTTCCTTTTGGGTCATGCTGGTCAGAAAATAGCCCTTTGGGAGAGGAAGCAGAGGGTCTGAGTGGGGAGTAAAAAAAAAGAATGAATGAATGAAAGAAAATAGCCCTTCAGGGACTCAGTTTCCTGGAAACAGTGTCAGGGCTAGTTTCCGACATCCTGGCCCTCCTTGAACACATGACATCTGCCTGTTTTTTTATGAGCAGGTCCAGGAAAGGGGGCCCCGCCATTAGTCTTTATTGCCACATTTGACTTAGGTCTACACCCCTGAGACACAGAGGTGGGGGCTGGTGGCTTTACTCTGAGAGTCAGGAACAGGATGAAATCACACATATTCAGTTCCTTCTTCTCTCACTTTTGACAGAAACCTCCGATAGCCTAGACCACCAAGTTAGTTTTCCTGGAACTCAGGCAAGCAACTAACTAATATCACACACGGCATTGGCTTTCCAGGAGCTCAGAGCCCACAGTCTGAGGAGCGTTTCTGGAAGGAGACAGCCAAAACCCACCGGAGGGCTCCTCTGAGTTGCAACACCTGGCCCTTCTCTTGACGACATTCGGTCTAATCCCCCTCTCTGCTGGAGGAAGTGAGCTATAGAGCACAGGGACAAACGTCAGGAAACCTGGGTGCTAGTGCTGGCTTTGCCACTCATCAACTAGGTGTCTTCTCTCCACCTGATTTTCCTCATCTAATAAAGGGGAATAATGTTTCCTAACCATGTCATAAGGCAATTGTCAGTTTATAGAGAATGATTTGTATCAAAGTGCTTTTTACCACAAGAAAGAACCGATGCCAGTACTATTTTTTATGGCAAAAAATAAAAATAAAAAAAATTCAGAGAGGGAAAACTTCCAGAGTGTCCCAAAGCTCTCTGTTTCCACTTGCTCACTGATTCACTCATGAGAAAGCACCTACGTGAATGAACAAGGGATGCACAAATGCTGAGAGACATAGATGGTTAAGATGTAGTTTCTGTCCTCAAAGACTTGAAAGACTAGCACAGACTGTGCACCAAAGGTGGACACAGAGATTTCAGAGGGCGCCCAAGATCGCAGTGGAAAGGGAGTTCTGTGCAGAGTCGAAGGCTACAGGATTGTTCAACCAGGTGAGCAGGCCACAGAGGGAAGGAAGGAGTAGAGGGGTGCCACACTGCATAACGGTCTTCAAGCTTCTTTGTTGGGGAGGAAATGAAGTCATCCTGCTCTCGAAAATCAGCATGACAGCCTCCAGCCAAGTAATCTGGAGTCATGAGAGGCTGCAGGGGAGCTCTGTGAATCATGACAGTCTGCTGGGAATTTCCTGACAACTAGCCTAAGAGTTTCGGGGTAAGTCCTAAGGCTGTAACATCTCTGTTTACATTTTGATCACGTTTATTTACAATTAATGGATTGAAAATCCAAACAAAACATATCACAGTCTTCTAGAGGAAGTAGTGAGGCAGGCTCTGCGACCTATAGCACCTCTGACTCAGTCCATCCCTTGGGAGGCTGGGAGCTTAGCTAGACACAGAAAAACTCTCTCTGGAGGACAATGGGCCACCTGCCTCCCTAAAGCGGGATGGTTAACTTACGCTTTTCCCAGGCAGAGGCTGGCATCCTGGAGACCTCTGGCCGCAACAGAGCAAAGAGGCTTTCTTCCTTCCTACCATCCTGGCGCTCTCCCTGCCCTCCTCCTGTTTCTTTCAAGTGGACCTAGACTCAAGGTCCAGGTTTGCCAGGCAGCAAAATGTTGTAGGTCTAAGCGGGGAGAGGCCTTGGGTCTGGCCTTGGGCCCCTAATGAGTTACAGGGACTCAGACATCTCCTCTCTCATAAAGGGGGAGAGTCTTGGTGGGTAGAATTCAAGTGACCCCAAGCCTAGGTTCCCAACACTCAGGGGAAGGAGGGAGTGAATGAACCTCAGAGTCCCTGAAGTGCTCCTTCAGCTATGCCTGGAGGGATAGGTGTGTGTGCACCTGCCTGAGTACAAAACTGCCTTGCCCTTGGGCAAGAAGAGCAGGCTGAGTCCTTGGTACATGGTCAGTCTTACTGGAGGTCAGTCTTATTTCATAAGCAATTATTTCATCTTATTAGAAACAATGCCCCGCGATGAAGTAGAGCACTAAATAAGCACACATTTAAAAATCTGTAATTATCTTTTTGGAATGGACGGTACAAAGATGTGTTTTCAACAACTTAAACAGTGTAAAATAAATCTTCTTTTCATTCATGTCCTCCAGTTCCCCAATTCCTCTCCTCAGAGGTGCAAATAGAACTTCCTGACCCTCTACAGCTTACTGTCTACGTAAATAAGCCTCCACTATTCCACTGTCTTTACTCGCTTAACTAACTATACTCTGGCCCAGGCAAATAAACGGATTGTTCCTTATAGGAACTTCCTGAAAGACCCACCCATCAACACTTCAGTACAGTGCAGGAACAGTTTGTGCCCTAAGGCTTCGTTTTCACAGCCCCGCACCACTGCATCTCGACCCTCCTCGAATCCTTACCAAGCCCTCACTTTCTTTTCTGCTCAGTCCCTCCCTGCACACCCCCATCCCCACCAAGCCCTCATTTTCAAATGCTGCCCTGAAACCGAACTGCAAATTCTCCCATAAAATCTGGCCTTGCCTCCCCCGTTCCCCAAACTCCCTACCGTGGTAAGCAATTGCCTCAGCCCGGTCTCACCCGCTGGCCGTGTGGGTGGCTTGGGGCGAGCCGGCTGTCGACAGGAGCAGCCCCTGTTAGCAGGCTTTTTATCTGTGTTTTCGGCGAGCATGTGTCAAGCGCATTTTCAAGTTGAGAAAAAGACTTTACAGCTGTTAAGAGTTTGCGGACTGTGGCCCTAGACCCAGGGATCCCATTCACT